GGGGGGGAGCAGGGTTCGCCAAGGATAATGGGATGCACCATTCTAGACGGGGCGCACCCTATGACACACATCCTCAACCTGCAGAGCGCATTCCCGCAGAGCGCATGGATCTCGATTTCCGCCGAGGGTTGCACGCAGGCGCATGAGCGCCGCTTGATCTGTTGCCGATCCCGTGGCGGCTGAGAACTCTGGTCTCTCTGATCAGTGCCGCCAGTGTTGCGGCCGGCCAATAGGCAAGACCGCGCTTGGACGCGTCTTCGCGCTGTCGGTGCCGTGCACGGCATCCCGTGCGTTTTCGCACCGCCAGACCCCAGTGCACCTCAGGCCTAGGCCAAACATGACGCAAGCCCCTCCTGTCTATAACTTGTTCCGATGTCGTCGGGCTCCATTGCGCCAAAGCGCCTGTCAGATGTCCTTGTGCACCCGCTTGGCGAGTCGACAAGACAACGCAGCGGGACATGTTCCCATTCTCTTGGCGCGCGGCGTATGAGAGCTTCGCATCGATAACCAGCCCCTTGGACTGGATGCTTGCTTCCCATCGCTCATCGCAGAAGAATACGTAGGATCCGGTGCCTTCCTCTCATCCGCGACCCAGAACTTTTAGCATGCACGACGCCTGATTCGCATTTGGAATCGAAATAGCTTCCGACACTCGCTTACACGCGAACTGAACCACTTGTGCATGCCACGGCGGCCGTCTGGAAGTTCGGTTCGGTGAACCTCCGAAGTCGAAGGCGTGCATACAAGCCCCCATGCTAGAGTGACCGATCGATTAATCAACAAGTCGCATGTTCGGCATGCCTCCAGCTCGTCACCATTTGTGGCAGTCGGGAACAAGCAAGAGCTGATAGAGTCCAACGCAAGCGGGGTAGCCGAGATTTGAAGTTGTCGACCACGTAAAAATCCCAACGACGGCGCGTCCTGCTCCCCGTGTACCGAAGTTGGCGACATCGTCGCTAGCAAATACACTACCGAAAGCGCATGCATTTGCCCCTCTTCAGCTCACTTGCGTCAGCGGAACTCATCGAACCCATCAGACGCCACCACAGAGATAAGTTCGGAGCTCATCGAACCCAACAGCCGCCACCACAGAGATCAGTTCCCTGGGTTAAGCCGCGCACAGTGGCAAGTTTCAATACAAATGCCTCGTATGTCGCAACCGCACGTACCCTCAACGACGACGACGACAACCATGCCGGCTTCTGCATTCTAGGACGGTCTGCACCCTCGCTTCTCTCGGGACTCGGGCTGCCTTAGCATACAGGGACGGTGGTTCCAGCTGATTTCCTTGGTTTCTTAAGCGAGAACGAGTGCCATCCATCTTCCCCACCTGACCCCGGCATGTCGGCAGCGTCACCCGAATTTGCTCTCTCTGTGGCTCGGCACCCTTAGACGTCCCGCATACCATAGATCCCCCACCCTCACCTCGTTTTGTGGACTTCGACGACAAAGGTTCTCTTTACCTCTTCTGCGCAAGCAGGTCCACAAGAACAAACTGGTGCGAGAAGCGAGGAATGGGGCGAAAGCTTTCACATTTGACCGATCTGCCTGTCCTGCTCTGAGCAGATATCCTTGATCACACTGGTCGTTGCGGATCCGTTGTGCGCGTTCAGCCTTGTGTGAGCGCTTTGGGTAGAATGGCCCGACAAGCGCTCCTGCCACGCCGACAGTGTTGTCCAGGGGCCGACAAACAACAAGTTGATTCCTGCATGTACATCGCATGGGCTTTTTTCTGTGGCGCAACTTCTCCCCGGGAGAGAGGGAGGGGGTGGGGGGGCCGCGCGAGCAGCCTGTCAACTTCCCGAGCCTCCCAGCCTCTAATCTCCTATCACTGAGCATCCATCGCCTAGCTACACCCTCGTCTGATACGCGGGACGTATTGCCATTGGAGTCATTTACCACAGCCCCCGCCGTTTCGAGGCCGCTTCACGGCACCACAAGCCATATCGGCGCGCCTTGCAAGCGCCGCATGGCGTCAGCGCTCCGTTGGTGACCAGGTAATCTCACCGTTACCCGATGCAGGAGAGTGTGCGGCGGCAGGTGGAGCGCGAGTGGAGCTTGGCTCGGCACTTCGCTGGATTCATGCCGATCTAGGGCTCGTCAACCTCGCCACAGATGAGACACTCGGCCTCCACCTCGACATTCAGGCTATGCCGAGGGGAGCGTGAGGCGCAAACACATTCCCATCATGCTTACTCCAGACGCTAGCGTCTGAGCTTGGCGCCGCGGGGCGCGGGACATGTGGGATGGTCAACCGCTCCCGCCTACCACCCCATTCTATCGCATGGCGTCAAGAGCCCGAATCTGAAGGGGTACGTTTGCCGCAACGAGATGTTGGTGGAACTACCGGGGCATCAGTCCTGACGCGAGCGTGTGCTTCGCAACAGCTCGCAGTTCCACAAAATGTACGACTGTACATGCCCGAAATATTTAGCTCGGCCGTAAGCAAGCCACCCGGGGCGGAGCGAAACCCGACATGCTGGGAAACCTTGTGTGTACGGCATTGATGTCGTACATACTGCAACTGACGTGCATCATGTTCGCACCTGCCCAGACGAACCCCCTATCTTGATCCGCGGTAGTAACCACAGCCTCAGTCATCTCAGTCGCCGGGTCGGCCATCGACCACCGGTAGTCACTGTTGCTGCGAGCTCATCGGCCTGCCTGCCTTCGCACCGTGCACGCCACCACCAACCCGCGCCGCCTCGTAACGTCACGTTACCGGAGACAAGGTCAATTGTCACGATGTCATAGGTCCTACTTGGTTCTCTC